CAGATGCGGTCGTTTGGCCGCAGAAGCGGGACAACATCTGCGGGAATAGAAGCGCAGAAGCGGAAAAGGGGAGCCTGGAGGAAACCGCAGAAGCGGTGGATTGGCTCGCACTTGCGGAACCGCAGAAGCGGTCAAGGGACCGTAGGTGCGGAAAGTGCTGGAGGCAGAAATGTGTTTTAAAAATCGGGATTTGGCCATTTTCTCTCATATTTTCTTGGCTTGGGCGATTTTAGGGAGAGCTTCAAGTGGGATTTTTCATCATCAACGATAAGGTAAGCTAATCCCATCCATCTTGAGTTAAATACATCGATAATGTATGGATTTTAGCATGTAAATTGGTAGAAATTTGGGGTTTTGGTAGAAAGACCTAGAAATTTATATTCTTGGAATTTGACCACGATTTTAGGTATGGAATTAAGAGAAAATTATATATTTGAGTTCGTGAGGCTATGGGTAAACTTATTCTTCAAAAATTTTGGAAATCCGGGCACGTGGGCCCGAGGGCGTTTTTGTCAACTTTCCGACCGGGGTTAGGAATTGTTATAAATTGGATTAATATGAGTAGTTTATCATGTATTAATGGATTTGCGTAACTATTGGCTAGTTTTGGAGCGTTGTGCATCAATTTGAGTTTTCGGATGGGCGTGGAAGGCCGGTTATGGATCTTCAGAGCGAGGTGAGTCTCCTTTCTAACCTTGTAAGAGGGAATTGTCCCCATAGGTGAAATAATTGGTTATGTGCTCCTATTTGTGGGGGGCTACGTATGCACGAGGTGATGAGAGTCAGTGCGTAACTACTAATATGTGTAAGTCCGGGTAGTCTAGGACCCAAAAAGCATGCTATACTTGGAATATCTGTGATCTTATTGACAGTTGAATTTTTTAAATCTTATCGAATTGGTAAATGAATTTCTAGGAGGATTAAACTTCTTTTTTCTTAAATCAATAAAAGAGAATTGACTTTTATTTGGATAAATGTTCCCCGATAAATTCTTAATTTGCTGATTGAGCATGTATTTCTATGTGTACCTGCGTCGCATGTATGATTCGCGAGCAGGGTGATTGTTTAGTTAAATTTGACCGCGTCGCATGTGTGATTCGCGAGCGGGGTAATAGATGCATCTATGGTTCGTGCCACTCGACCCTCGGCAGTGCACAATTTATATTTCTGTTGGATCGGGCCGTACAACCTCGGCATGAATTGCGCATGCTTGTATTGCTTGCCTTGAGATTTATCGATATTGTTGTCTGCTCTCCCGACTTGAGATAATTGTTAATTAATGGATTATGAATCCGAAGACTTTAAATAAAAAGGAATTTTCACCTGTTTAGTGACTCATTTGAATTTTACCGTTGTTCTTGATAAATCCGTGGGTCATTGCATTAATAATATCATTACTGGACCTTTAGTAAGTGTCGTAGTTCCATCTTGTCTCTACTTCTTCGAGATTAGGCGGGATACTTACTGAGTACACGTTGTTTTTGTACTCATACTACACTTCTGTGCATTTTTGTTGCACAGGCACATGCGCCACTAATGGCTTAGCAGGCGTAGCAGCATGGTTGACACGGAGACTAGGTGAGCTATATTTCCTCGAGGCGATCCGCAGCTAGTACAGTCTCTCTCAGGATTCTATTTATTTTCTGTCCAATTGTATTTCGGACAACTGTTGTACTTTATTCGATTTTTCATAAAAATTTCTCATGCACTTGTGACACCGGGTTCTGGGATGGTTATGGAGTATTTTGTGTTGATTGCTTATTATTTAATTTGACTTGAAGCAATTATCTTCTTAAATTGGTAGATTTGAAGAAAAGTCATAGTTTTCAAGAGTATTAAAATGAGAATTTAATTAAGTATTTTGGGTTGGATTGCCTGACAGTGGTGTCCGGCGCCATCACGACCTTTAGTGAAATTTGGGTCGTGACACGTATTGATTGTATCTTATTGTTTGTGCTTAGATTCGAGGCATTTTGATATCGATTCGGGAGGCAAAGGCATGTTGGAGTAGAGTTTCTCTTGGATTGAGGTAAGTAACAGTTCTAAATCTGGTTCTGAAGGTATGAAACCCTGACTTATGAGTTATGAGATTTGTTTGGAGGTGACGCATATGCAGGTGACGGACATATGGGTGTGCACCATAAGTATTGTGACTTGGTCCATTCCATGAAACTGTAGAGTTGAATAACATCTTGTTAGCTATATGCTCTCCCCGTGTTATAGAAATTTAACTGCAAATCATGTTAGAAATCATATTTAGGATATCTGTTGATACTGTTGGGACCCGCAGAGGTCGTGTACTTGTTAAATTATTTGCTAATTGCGGTGTTGTGCTCAATCATAATTTTTCGTGCGTATCACATCTCAGTCTCTTCTTGTTTCTTGTTGATACATTATATCATCTCTGTTTGGGATGATTTTTATAATTTTAGAGAGCCCGTGAGACTGGAGAGGTTGGTGACCGAGTTAGGGCCTGAGTGCCGAGCTGTGAGCGATGTGTATATACATGGATCGGGTTGCACGCTGCAACGAGCCTTATGGATGTATATATATGGATCGGGTTGCACGTCGCGACGAGCCTTAGGGTTGTATATGTATGGATCGGGTTGCACGCTGCAACAGGCCTTATGGCTGCAACAGGCCTTATGGCTATATTATGGGATCGGACTGCACGTCTCAGTGATATAGTGCTTGGGCTGAAAGAGCCCCTCCGGAGTCTATACACCCCACGTAAGCAAATGTACCTATTGAGTACGAGTGTTGAGTGCAGAGTGCCGAGTGTGTGCTGAGGTATTGAGAAAGATTGAGTGACTGTTTCTATGAGAGAGTGCTCTTGACTTCATTATTGTTGCACATAGTTGTCGTATATCTTTGTCTGCAAGTTTTCTTAAAGATGTTATATTTTGTTTTACTTGAATTGATATGACATAACTGATTCGGCCTAAATTGTCGAACGTGAAAGCATGCCAATCTTCCTATGTTGAGATTTCTGAAGTTGAACTATAATCGAAGAGCTCGTCACTACTTTCAGTTCTTTATATAGTATTATTACTTACTGAGTTGGTTGTACTCATACTACACCCAGCACTTCACGTGCAGATCCATGTGTTTCTAGACATAGTGGGTGTTGATATTTCTCACAGCTGATCGTTAGAGACTTCGAGGTAGCTGCCTGGCGTTCGCAGTCCTTGTTTCTCCTTCCTTATCTTTTCTTTTATTGTATTTAGATCCAAACGTTCATAGACATTACTTTTCTAGACTGGTGATATATAGACACTCATGAGCTAAATGACACCCCGATTTGGGAGTTCTCCACATTTGTGTTTTGGGTTTTTACCTGGTGTCACACCTCTTTTTCCACTCGAAAGGGCGAGGGGATTTTTTCCAATTAAAGTGACAATAACCAAAACGGGATTACTTGTATCAAATTTAGAGTCGCCACCTGGGAGAATTTATGGTGTCCTAAGTCACCGGTTGAAAATCCCGAATCGAGGAAGATTGACTCTGTTTTACAGTCCGCGAAACACAAAAATCCGGGTAAGAAATTCTGCTAACCAGGGAGAAGGTGTTAGGCATTCCCGGGTTCCGTGGTTTTAGCACGGTCGCTCAACTATTATTAATTGACCCAATTATCTGATTAACAACATATTTTATACCTAGTGTGCATTTTTAGCTTTCAACCTTTTTTTAATTATTTATGGAATTATTTCTGGAACAAGTTACGATTGTCGTACACTTGTTTGTTTGGGGACACATTACAAACCACGCTACATGAAATGCACCCGCGATTTGCAACATATTTATTTTATTATTTGAAGTTGTTAGGATCGGGTCACATGAAATGCACACCCGAATTTGAGAATTATGTATCATGACTATGTCACGGGAACCGTACCCATAGTCACGATGATTTATTATTAATCACGCCTAAAGCAAACTACGATGTTCATGAATTATTTCCTACTTTAAGATTATTGTAAGGCCAAGAGTTACGAAAATTTTTGTGGGAGAGGCGTAGATTTACTTGTGGAAAGGTGACTTATATTTCTAAAAGATATCCGGTACACAGTAAACTATTTGCACTAGAGAACATACATTGAGATTTATATGGAGTAGTTAATAATTGGAACTCTTCCATAAAACTTAACATTCCCAAAATTGCATTCACGCAACTGATAGCTGAATCTCATTGAAATGGAGCATTCATTTTCTCCATTCTATATACTTCTCACCTCTCTACTCTTTGTGGTCGTATCTATGAAACTGATGAAACAATCCATGAGAGAAACAGGACGGAACTTCCACTTATCACTTGAATTTTAGAAATAAACTAGATGAAATAGTTGAAAGCATATCATGAATCTTTAAACATAATGTACAATTTTTTTCACAACTAAAGCAATTTCTTTGAACTTTGGCAAAACACATATAATTAGTTTTCACTTGAATCATGCAATTCATGGAACTTCAAAATGAACAAGATCCAATAACATCTAGATCAGTGAACTCATAACAAAGAATTAAACTTAGACACCACTATCCTCAAATTTAATACTACCACTCCATCTTGCTATAAAAACTGTTACTCAAGCTCAAAATCTAAAAGCAGGCTAATATCATGCTTTAATACAAAAAGAAAACAACAGGAATTAGAATTAATCAAGTTAAAATCCGATAGATTTATGCACTCGATTCATACACAAGCTTAACAGAAGAGAAAACTACCCTGAAACTAAACCATGGAAACAAGAAAACTCCTAAGAATCCTCAACATAGTAGATCAATAAACTTAGTTACTAAAATGAAACGAGCCGCTCGATATTCAACATGTTAGAGTTTAGTGAGAAGATCGAGCTTCAGAGCTCCTTCCATGGAGGATACTAAAGATTCTAGAAGGTATGCGTAGAGAGAAAAACCATGCTGAAGAAAAATTAAGAAAATGTGAAAATGAATCTCATTATTGAATATTCTATACAACTGGGTATATGTAACTAATACAACTAATCAACTAATGCTGACCCAGCATACACCTACACAATTAATACAACTCAGCATACAACAATACAAAGATAAATATTTTAGTCTTAATACCCCCCCTCAAGTTGGATGTGAGGAAACCACACCCAACTTGCCAAGTACAGAACAATGTTTAATTCCAGTGAGAGATTTCGTGAGTACATCAGCTAATTGCTGTCTAGTACCAATATGATGCAGAGAAATAAGGCCATCCTGGAGTTTAGTACGTACGAAGTGACAATCTACTTCGATGTGCTTAGTCCGCTCGTGGAACACAGGGTTCCTGGCAATGTGTAGAGAAGAAAGGCTATCGCAATGAACAGGTATAGGCAAATTAATTGGTACAGTGAGTTCTTCAAGTAATCTTGAGAGCCAAACGAGTTCACCAACGACCTTTCTAAGAGCTCTGTATTCTGCCTCTGCTGAAGAAAGAGATATGGTTTCTTGTTTCTTGGATTTCCAGCTAATAGGGCTGCCACCTAGGAACACAACATAGCCAGACACTGATTTTCTTGAGTCAGGGCAAGCTGCCCAGTCAGAGTCACAATAGGCTTTTAATGAAAGATCATCTGTATTGCTGAAGTATAGTCCCAAAGTAGGGTCCTTTTTCAAGTATCTCAACATACGATGGGCTGCTTGCAAATGGGGTTCCCTAGGATCTTGCATAAACTGACTTAGGTGTTGAACTCCATATGCTATATCCAATCTGGTATTTGTGAGAAAATTTAACTTTCCAATCAGTTTCCTGTAGGAGGTAGGGTCAAGCAATGGAGTCCCTTCTTTTGCTTTCAATTTTACTGTGGGATCTAGAGGAGAAGCCAAGGCTGGAGAGTGAAGGCAGTCATACTCTCTCAATAAATCTAGGACAAATTTTCTTTGGGAAACAATGATGCCATCTGATTTGTAAAGAACCTCTAACCCCAAAAAATAATGCAGCTGACCTAAGTCTTTAATTCTGAATCTGTCATGTAGAAACACCGTGAGTTGACTGATTTCTTCAGAATCAATCCCTGTAAGCAACACATCATCTACATACACTGCTACAAAAACAATAGAAGAACCCTGCTTTCTATGGAACAAGGAATAGTCATGCATGGAGTGTGCATAACCTCTTGAATACAAAACTTCAGTCAGTTTATCATACCACTGTCTGCTTGCTTTCTTCAGTCCATAAAGGGACTTGTTGAGCTTGCAAACTAAATCTGGAGCCTGTGTCTCAAGACCTGGAGGAGCTTGCATGTACACTTCCTCATGCAAATCTCCATGGAGAAATGCATTATTCACATCCAGTTGTGAAATGTGCCATTTCTTCTTTGCTGCTATTGCAATGAGGGACCTGACAGTAGCCATTTTGACTACTGGTTAAAATGTCTCTGTGTAATCTACACCTGCTTGTTGAGTATATCCCTTAACCACCAACCTTGCTTTGTATCTCTCTACACTGCCATCTGCTCTATGTTTTTATTTTATACACCCATCTACATCCAATAGCTTGTTTTCCTTTGGGTAAGGGGACTAAATCCCATGTATTATTAGTATATAAGGCTTCAAATTCTTGTGTCATGGCACTTTTTCAAGCAGGATACAGAGCTGCTTCTTCTTATGAAGTTGGTTCTCTATCATTACAAATGTTCTTTACAATATGCTGACTATTAGGATGTAGGGCATCAGAATTGATGTGGTGATTATTATGGGAAAACATAGCATGCACAGAGAAGTTGGAATTAGACTTCAGGTTTGGTATATTGCAAACATAATCATTCAAATATGAAGGCAACTTATGTTCTCTATGGGGTCTTCTGGGAACTGAAGGTTCCTCTGATGACTGTTGAGAGACAGTCATGTCTTGGAGGAATTAATTTGGAGTGCGTGTATCATGTGAAGAAGAAATAGATGAAGGAGTGACTGGTGGTGCATCATGTGAGGAAGAAACAAAATCTGAGGAGTTATTGTTATCATGACTACTGAAATTGTGAGGAATATGAATTTCAGCATTTGCAGGTGAGTTATCAGTGAATGGAGTGCTAACAAAAACTGGTGGGATGTTGTTCACAGTAGGATTGAGAGTGAATGGGAAGATTGATTCATAGAAGAAAACATCTCGAGAGATATGTATCTTCTTAGTAGCTAGACTTAGTACCTTGTACCCCTTTGTACCAAAAGGATATCCTAGAAAAACATGAGGAGTTGTCCTTGGTTCAAGTTTATCTCTAAGTGGTTTTGGTACAGTGGGATAGCATAAACATCGAAAACTCTTCAAATGAGAGTAATTGGGTTTTCTTTTGTATAAGAGTTCAAAAGGACACTTGTTCTTTAATGGAGTTGTTGGGAGTCTGTTAATTAGGAAGGTTGCTGTGAGGATGCACTCTCCCAAATATTTCAATGGTAGTTTAGATTGAAACAATAGTGCCCTAGCTACTTCCAGAAGGTATTTATGTTTTCTCTCAACCACTCCATTTTGTTGTGGGGTGTAAGGACATGTTTTCTGGTGGTTTATTCCTTTTGATTGAAAGAAAGAAGTTGCTTCATTACTGGTGAATTCTAGACCATTGTCAGATCTTATACACTTGATGGTGGTTTGGAATTGATTTTCTACCATGCTTACAAATGCCTTTAGCACTTGTAAGGCATTACTGTTGCAGCTTAAAAGATGTGGCCAAGTGGATCTGCTATAATCATCCACTTAGGGTAAGGAAATATTTGAAATTGTTGTGTGTGGTCACATGATCAGGGCCCCACAAGTCCACATGAAGTATTTCAAAAATCTGCTTAGTTTTAGTTGTTCTCTGAGGAAAAGGTATTCTGGCTTGTCTGGCCATTGGGCAAATATTACATAGGAAGGATTGTTTGGCAGAGAAAGTTGCAGGGATGGCAGATATTCCATTCATCTTACTAAAGGGTACATGACCAAGTCTAAGGTGCCACAATAGATCTGTGCTATCACTGAGAGATGTATCAACAGATAAACCAAAAGAACTGTCTTTATTATTGCAAATGAAGTTATTTACAATAGGAGATGAATTGTATGGCTGGGAAAGACAGTTTAAGCAGTTATATCATCAGCATGAGTGGAAAAACAAGGAAAGGTACAACCTTTTTCAAGTGTAGAACTACCTCTTTTCAGACACTTGGAACATAGGAAATACAGTCCATCATACAACTTACCAATCTCCAGAAGCCTCTTCAGTGAAGGGGCCTGCAGCAGACAGGAAGTATTAGAGAAGGATGCGATGCATTTGAGATTTATAGCTAAGGAACTGATAGACACTAGGTTAAATTTGAAAGATAGAATGAAGAGGACTTTATATAGGACAATTTTAGGTGTTAAAAACACATTTCCAATTTCAGTCACTTTAACTTTGTAACAATTTGGATGTTTAACTAGTAAAGGATATGGTAGGCTTACTATATTCTGTAGGTGAGTTTTATCAAAAGTCATGTGGTGTGATGCCCCGGAGTCTAAAATCCACAAGTCAACTTTTGCACTAAAACACTTGCATGACGGATTATCAAAATCAATTGAAGAGGCGCAAGCTATCATACCTGCGAAGTTTAGTGATGCTCCACTAGACATATTTGCTCTGGCAAGACTTTCTCCAGTATTTCCCATTTGAAAATGCTGCAACAGGTTGACAATCTGCCCGTACTGCTCCTTTGAGAGATTCACACCTTGATTTTCCCCTTTGTGGTGACTTATTTCTTCTCCTTCTTCCATATTTATGACTGCATTAGCTACAACATTCTTCCCTCTGTTGAATCTCATGTTGTTATTGTTGCCTTGAAAATTCTACTTGTATTGTTGTGGTCCTTGATTAGGTCTCTGAGGATATCCATGCAACTTATAACATTTGTCCTTAGTGTGGCCTTGTCGTTTACAATAGTCACAAAAAGGTCGAGGCCTGTTGCTCGCAATTTGTTCCAGCTCCAGAGGAATAATTTGTCCAGAAACTTTTCTTCCTAGGTTTACACTCAATACTGTGGAATCAACATTCAACTGGTTCCTCGGCTTAAATTGCCTTTGTTTTTATTCTTGTATCAAGAGAGCAAAGGCTTGTGCCATAGACGGTAGAGGATTCATCATAAGTATACTTCCTCGAACAACAGTGTAAACCTCATTGAGCCCCATTAGAAATTGTATTAGCCTTCTATCTTGTTCCGCTTTATGCATATTTTCCTTTGCCCCACAGGTGCACACACAACTGCAGTGAGTCTTAACACTCAAAATATTCAACTCCTCCCAGAGCTTCTTCATCCTCGTGTAATATCCAGTGATATCAAGTACTCCCTGACTCAAATCATTGATCTCTTTTTGAATTTGATACAATTTAGCCCCGTTCGTCTGATCATACAGATCCTCTAATTCCTTCCACAATTCAACGGAAATTTCACATATTCAACACTGTCGGCGATGTCCTTGGACAGAGAATTTATGATACACGAGGTAACCATATCATCGCACCTCTCCCATTGATGAAAGTGTGGAGACGTTGCATTAGGTCTTCTACTATCGCCATTGATAAATCCCAACTTGTTTTTCACATAAAGAGTCCTAAGTACACTTCTTCTCCAGGAGCGATATCCAATTCCGTCGAATGGAACCGAAACGAGTGAGGAACCAGGACTATCAGAGGGATGTATGTAGAGATAACTTCCAGTGTCGATCACCATCTGGTTCGTCGCTGTGGTGGTCTTTTTGTCAATCTGCTCTGTAATTTCCATAGAGAACAACTGAATTTGCTTTGTTTATGAATAATTTGTCAACGCATGTGCCGAATTTCAACTTGATTCAGATTATCCCCAAATTTTGACTGATGAGGAAGAGAAGGAAAAAAACCCTAAATCGTTCAGTAATTGAAGAGGTAGAAAGCGATAAGAAAGCGTGGTCGTCAAACGAACCTCCGCTCTGATACCATGTTAGAGTTTAGTGAGAAGATCGAGCTTCAGATCTCCTTCCATGGAGGATACTGAAGATTCTAGAAGGTATGCGTAGAGAGAAAAACCATGCTGAAGAAAAATTAAGAAAATGTGAAAATGAATCTCATTATTGAATATTCTATACAACTGGGTATATGTAACTAATACAACTAATCAACTAATGCTGACTTAGCATACACCTATACAATTAATACAACTCAGCATACAACAATTCAAAGATAAATATTTTAGTCTTAATACAACAGCCTACTTATACTATTCATCTATATAACCTGTTATTCATTCAAACAACCTAAGTATTTAAACAAATATAGTTCAATATCTAAAACATGGATCAAGGTGACTTTTGTACCCACAATTATCTTTCTAGCAGATTTATAAAAATAAATATTCGAAACAACTCTAAATACTACAATGAATACTAATAGAAGCATGAGAACATTTTCGGATCAAACAATACATGGAACAAAATATTCATTACTTAGTTAGAATCTAAAAGACTTGACTATTGGTGAATGCCGCCTTTTTATTCAGATAAAGAGCATATGAATACAATATAAGTGACAATCAAATGAACACATGGATAATCTTAAACCGATGACTTCATTTCACTAAATTCACGAACTGAAATTGTAAAAAAACAAACAGGAGTTGAATCTAACCTTCAAACTGAGTTCGAACTTTGAAACGTAAAAAATGACAGACGACGGATAGAATTTCGAATCGGCACCGGAACGTTTAACAGAAATCAGAAGCAACAGTGAACGCAGATTCAAGGGCCAAGTCGAAACCGTATAAATCAAAATGGAACCGCGACCCACGAACGACAAAGGAACCTAAGTTAAACCAAAATTCCCTTTCAACCAGAAATCCAGAAAAAGAAATTGAGCTCTTTTTTTTTTTTTAATTTTTTCTGATTTTTGGAAGTAAAATCTCGAACAGAAAAAAAACTAAAATTTTTAGTATCTTCTCTGGGATTGACAAGACAACAGAAAATATTTAAAAGGAAACTATGAACAAACCCCTAAAAATCTATCAAAATCTCTCTCAGGAAATTTGTTCTCCCCTTTCTTACCCGAAAAAATCCTCTATATATACCCTTACCTCCAGCTTCTTTCTTCCTCTTCAAGAAATCGGATAAAAACCTCTTTGAAAATGAGCACATGATGATTGTGAGGCTCAGATTGAATGAGATCGATCCGACGCCTCTCACTCATCCAACACACGTCTTCTAGAGCCTTCTAATCGCGTGATTTAGCTTGAAAACGGGCGAGTGAGGGAGGGAATCTTCTTGTTGTCACAGTTAGTTACACTATGTGGCAAGAGGAGAGAGGGGGGAGCGCATGAGGTGAGTTTTGTGTGAACTCGCCTGAGTTTCAGGCGAGTTTGGGGCGGGTTTGAGCGAGGCAGAGGAG